CCCCCCACCACACACACACACACACACACACACACACACACACACACACACACACGCACACACACACACACACACACACACACACACACACACACATATTAAGCAGTTGTTGAAACTCCAACTTGCTCTTTAGGTCAAATTTTCATGACAATTTGATTCATATTGAATGTTACGCAGGATGTACCTTGGTGGGAGGTACCAGCAGAATAGGGTTGACCATGAGGACTTCATAGTATCTCTTGCAAGGATCATCCTGCAGAGTCCATGTGCTCCTGAACCACTCTGCAGGGATGCAAATCTCGTGTTGAAAAGGGCTTGATCTGGTGATCGATTGTTAGTACGCTCTTATTCTTCCGGGGGAATTTTTGCGTTGAGGGCTGCTCCAACAATTGTGTTGCTTATTGTTTAGCCGTGGAGTTCGAGCCGCCTGGTGGACCACTTTTGGTAAGCACAACTAGCGTGGCTGGATGAGCGACCGGAGGAAATGACATTCATATGATTATCATTTCTCAGTAGCAAAACGGGGTCCGAAGGCCAACAAGATTAGAACGCCGCAGATGGATCCAAGATCAAACCTCAAGGCGAGGATAATCTCTTCTGTAACACTGTTTACATTCCGTTCGCATTTTTTTTACGTGCCCGGCCTCTCCCGTCCAGACGTGTGACGCGCACACACACCAAAATCTGTAAAGTCAATAAAATGTAAGGTTAGTCCTAATTTATGGATTGTCGAGTTTTCATGAGACATAAAATCCATTAATCCAAAATAGGTCACACTTTAAACGTGAAATTAACTCGCACGCTGGATTCAGAAATGATAGTAATCCTCACCAGTGACATCATCTAAGGGGCAACTTTGGAGGAGCATGTGTATTTGCAGATTGTATTTAATAACTTGTTCTAAAATAATTTAATCAGAATACAAACATGTCTAAACTCATGTTTGGAGCCGAGCGGTCATTAGCATACCAGAAAACAAGACTGAAATTACTACTAAGCCTGTTTTGGGGGAGATCTTTTTTTTTTCTGGGGACATATTTTTCTGGACACACCTATGAAATAAGAACCAATGTCCAGACCATTAGAGAGGATGTTTAAGGTAAAGTCCATTAAAAAATGCCATTAACAAGTTCACAGAAGGTGTTTGATCTCTGAATAAGTTTCCAAGGATTTAATGTTTTCTGTGCCTCTTCTAGTCTCACTGGAACACTTTGGGCTCAATGGGCACTCCCTTCTGAGAATATCTTGTTTAAAGCCTCTCAATGTTGTCTCATGATGTCTATTGAGGACTATTTGGATACAGATTGCGATCAAACCAGGAAACATGTTGGTTGATTGATGGATAAAACACCTGTTGTCTATTTTCAGCTGCTTGTTAGAGAAGACAAAATTGTGCAACAAATACTGAAACATTGAAAAGCTGGATAACAACAACTAAAGGGTTATAAAAGATCAAATTAAGTTATCTTGTAAATGTTAGTGCATTTTAGATTCACCCTGGAATTACATCCAAAAGCCAAATATCCTTTTTCTAAGTAGCATGCTCTGTTGTTGTTTCAACATACCTTTCAAACTATCGCGCCAGTCAATCGTCTTCACTCCAATGCATTTGTCATTGATGCTGTTCATCTTCACAATGTTGTTTTGGTGTTCAGCAAAAGCAGTCTGACAGAATAAAGTCTTAGAATCGGTGTCCAAAAAAGAAGGTTATTTTTCAAAATATGTACAGAAAGTATTCCAACTCACCTGATACAGATACAACCAGTTCCAAACAATACTGACGAAGAAGCAGATGGTAAACAGCCGTTTAAACTGCACTAGCCAGGAGATGGCACACCACAGCTCAGTGCAGATAATGACCACGAAGACCAAAGTACACAGAGCCAACTAGTGGATGACAAGTGGAGATGAGATGAATGAATGAATGATTTATCATGCTTGACAGTGTCAGTGACTTTAGATGGAAGCATTTTTAACTTTTGCCGGTACATAACAACGGGGTAAATTTACATAACCGATTCCACACAGTTTCTATGATATGATCTGCTACATGTCGGATGAAGATCCAGAGCCACTTTCAAGCAACGCTAGGTCTTCACGCAGAGCTGCAAATATTCATCTCCCATTTTCTGATCCGATTTATCCTCACAAGGGTCTGGTGGTGGGCGGGAGCCTTTCCCAACCTGTCGGGGGACACCCAAACCAGTTGCCAGCCAATCGCAGGGCACACAGAGACGAACAAACATCTGCACTCACACTCACACCTAGGGACAATTCAGAGTGCACAATCAGCCTGCCATGCATGTTTTTGGAATGTGGGAGGAACCTGGAGTAACTGGAGAAAACCCACGCAGGACCGGGGAGGACATGCAAACTCCACACAGGGAGGCCGGAGCTGGAATTGAACCCGGTACCTCTGCACTGTGAGGTCGACGCGGGCTGCAAATAACAATCGTTTTTTTTATGATCGTATTAATATGTCAATAATTCAATGAATTTGATTTTTTAAAAGTTGTTTCCATCCGTAAACTTAAAAACCAGACATTATCTCAAATTGAGATTGCAGAAAATGCACAAAAACATTAATTAAGATGATGTTACTGGTTTGGTCTGTAACGTCAGAAAAAAGGCAAAAATGTTGATCATTGTTTTCCAAAGTAAAAGCAGATGTCTGCATATGCTGTATTTTGATTCAACAGAAAGATAAGTATGCTTTCGAGGAGGAGTACAGAAATCTGAGAATATTTAGTGTTGAGAAGCTTTGGACAATTTTAAATCAAACAAGGGCTCTAAATGATTTGAGGATTATTAACTGACTGAGCAAAAAGGTCATTGCAAGGCACACAACTCACAGTCAAGGTTTCATGAAAACAAAGTGCAACGTGAATATACTCTGAAAATTAAATAACGCACATTCAACAAACTACCGAGAGCATAAATGGCATTTTTGTCAAACATCTAGTTGAGAAACATGCGGTCTGATGTGGCTCCCAGGTAACGCTGATGAAAAATGGTGGCACCTTGCATCATTTAAATTGCTCCTCCCCGGTGTGGACTTAACTGCAATTCCCTCTCTGCACCAAGTTATCAAACAAAATATAAAAAGAATCTTATCTTATCAATCTTATCATGGTCCTCAGGCATTTTACCTGTTTAAATTCCAGTTTGTTCACAAAGAATGCATTGACGACATCATGAGACTCGAGTGTGTGATAATGACGCAAGAGTTAGGCTTGAATGATTCCTCAGGACTTCCCCCTTCTTACCTTGAAAAGTGTGTCCAGCTCTACGCCAAAGGTGTCTTCAAAGCGCCATCTCCAGGCCTCGTAGTCATGTGGTCGAAGGTCCACCAGTATCTGACTGACGGCATTGTCCAGAGCGCCTGTTCTACAGCCTTCTTCACCATCGAGAAAGGTCTGAATCTCTGCCACGGCTTGTCTGGACAGTCGGATGGTGGCATCATAGTATGCAGGGTCTTTGGGCTATATTTGTGAAAGGTGGGACGAATGAAGATGGGTCAAACCACTTTGCCCTACGTCAACAATATGCAACGGCAACGTACCACTCCAATTCTTTGCGTGTCCTTCAGGAGTCTGCTCAGGAATCTTTTAAAAACAGGATTGCATGTGACCTGCTGTGGGATATGCTTCATACTCTTCTTTTGGGTTTCAACCTGAAGAGACGCAAAGTGCAATCTAATGTTTGAGATGCAGATCATACAGTAGATTCTATCAATTTTTATTAAATGTCTTGTCTCTCAAGTGGTGCAGGACTTCAAAGGGTGTTTAATTTCGCACTTGAAGGCTGGTCAGACACTCCAAGCAGTCTGTGCATACAAGTAAGCTCCATAAATATTTGGACATAAACACAATTTCCACCTCTGTGCAACACCACAATGGATTTGAAATGATGCAATCAAAGTGTGCTTTACATGCAATCTCTGATCTCTAATTTGAGGGTATTTACATCCAAATCAGGTGAACGGTGTAGCAATTACAACACGTTTTATATGTGCCTACACCTTTTGAAGGACCAAAAAGAATTGAAGACAGCTACAAAAGAGGTCTGGCAGAGCATCACCATAAACCAGGGGTCCCCAACCTTTTTTGCCCCACGGACCGGTTTATGTCAGACAATATTTTCACGGACCGGCATTCAAGGTGTGGCGGATAAATACTACAAAATAATATGGTAAGAGCTGCATGAACACCGTGGTGTTTTCGAGAGATAATAATAAACACGAGGAGCGTCTAATCTGGCCGCAACACTCTGATCGCTATGGTAATGTTTAATGTCTTCAAAATACGATACAACGCAAATTCAAAGTGCATGAAAATGTCAACTCACCACAACGCTGAATCAGTGCGAGCCCCGAGCTTGATTTTCTGCAACCGGGCGGTCCCATCTCGGGGTCATTTACGTCGAGTCTACTTCCTAATTTTGTTTTAGTCGCCATTGCGGCACAAAACCCCCGCCTCACACAGGTAGCATGTCGGAAATAGCAACAGTGCTATTGTGACGATCTCAGAGTATTCAGCCATAACTTGAATCCAGAACACCGGCAGAGTTGCTGTCTCGAACGTACTTTTAAGGCCGCCGTTATTTGTGATCACCAGCAGTTTATTTTACTCATTTAGTAAGCTTCGGCGTTTTGTTTTTAGCGTCATCTGTCACGTGACGGAGAAGCGTGGTTTGACGTGCATCAAGAGTGACACAGACGGATGTAACGGAGAATCGAGTAATTTTTCAAAATAAAATATATTTCGTATTCCAAAATAAATACAACGGAGTTAATGTAAGTTCTTATTGTGCGGCCCGGTACCAAATGCCCCGCGGACCACCGGCGGTTGGGGACCCCTGCCATAAACAACAGAGCATCTGGTGATGTTCATGGGTTCAAGACTTCAGACTGTCCTTGATTGCCAAGCGTTTGCAAAAAAAAGTATTTCTGATTATGTTAGCTTGTCAAATTATTTTTGGTAACGTAAAAAGAAAAAGGCACGTATAAAATGTGTTGCAATTCCCCCCACTATTCACCTCACTTGGATGAAAATATCGTCAAATAAAAACTCAAATATTGCACTTACATACACAACATAGTTCGAATCAATTTTTGTGTTATACAGAGCGGGAAAGATGAAAATTGTGTCAATGTCCGAATACAGCGATATCACAACAGTGGGAACACACCCACCTGAGTTAGTAAATCAGACAGCCGTTCTTTGCAGGCGATCAGCTCAGCTTGGTTACAGTCGATGTGCCCTCTTCGAGAGGTTGGGACGTTTAAATCCCTTGCCGGCTTCTACAACGAACGTGGTTAAATAAATGTATTTCAACAACTACGCCATCGTGTTTCATTTGCATTTTTGTCATGTCAGTATATTAAGGCTCTCAACCTCAGTGGGCTTCCTCATGGTTTTAGTGCTAGAGTCGTAGTTGAGCAAATCATACGGGTCAATCCAGTCTTCATCCTGCTGCTGACCAGAGGCCAGCGTCAAGTAGCCGACCAGGATCACGAGGAACATCGTGCACAAGCTTCCACCTCACGGAAACTTCCAAATCCAAATCAAATTGTAGTTCGGCGCGATTACTGTTCAGCCAAACGTACCAAAGAGCGTCGCGTCGGAGGACTATCGGAGTTCTGAAATCAACAATTGTCGCGGTTTAATTACGTCATCTTACGCAACCCACCAGCGCCGGATATGTACGTGCGGCGGGCGTTATGGGGCGCCGACAAAATTGCGTCACGGGAAACTGGGAATTCGGAATTATCCCACTCGGGTCGTACCAGTTGCGACGTCAAAGCGCTCCAGGCGAACTTAAACAAGGCCGGTTCTGATAACTTTTAGGTTATTGTTGTTCTGGTTCATCACATGACATTCGTACGCCCAGTAAATCTTTCTTCGTAATTTCCTTTATTTATTTAGAGAAAGGAGTATATTATCTAAATGTTTTATACACTTCACCGAATAACTTCCTGCAGGAAGATAGCATGCAGTCAGAAATAATCAAGTTGTGTTATGTGACGTTATTTCCAATTCATAATTAATAAAGATAAACAAATGCTCACAATCTTGTAATTTTTTTTTTCTATTCACAAGTGACTGTAAACTAAAAGCCACTGAATTCATTCATTAATTGTGAACCAAGCAACTTCTGTCGCTTATTTGTCCTTTTGGAACCTTGTGTCATAGTTGCACGTATTACAGTACAGTATGTGGCATCAAAGGTCATGAAATATATTACACACATTCCAGCACTCCAAAAGGACATCAGAACCAATTTATTGCAATCTTATTTACAAAAAATGAATGCCTACATTTCTCAATGACAGACATCCCCAACTTTTTGCAATTGAGAGTTCAGACAAACGACTCTGTTCTTAGAAAGACAAGCACATAATATTCATTTTTACTGTTCCCAAGAGCATTGAAGTCCTCCAAAGGAAAATGGTTGCAACAGATTTGGGCTCTTTCAATCAATTTGAAGACAAACTGTTCATGGACCCATTTCCGATCTACCTTCCTTTTCGCCCTTTGCTAGTCTTCACTCCCTTTTTGCCACCTTTTGCCTGTCTTCCTTTTCCTTTGCCACCCTTTGCTTTCTGCTCTTTCCTTTGCATCCCACGCACGTCTTTCTTCATGCGACCGTCCACCACTCTGAAGGCGCCTTTGACACCAGCAGGCCGCCTCACTTTCCTCCCAGCTCCCTTTTTGGCAACAACATACGTCACTTCTCGCTTCTCTTTTCCCACACCGGCTTTCTTGTAGATACTGAAAGAATTAATAACAATGATAAGACAGTCAAGTGGGCATTGTTGCATTTTTCCCTTGTGATGAGAAACCAAACCTCTTGAGTTGAGCCATCTTCTCCCTCTCAGAAATGTCCACTGTGTTCACAACAGCCTCTGCTTTCTTCTTAGCCTGTTCCATCTTCTTCAGCATCTAGTGAAAAACCAACAAATCTTTTTTTCCCCCACAATCTAGAACCCCATAAATCTGTAGTCTCGTCAAAGAACCAAATCAATGTCCTTACCCTCCTCTTCTTCCTGGCCTTGGCTTCGGCGACTCTCTTAATTGGCCGGGCATTGATCTCCTTCCACTTCTGTTTATACTCCTCCACCATCTCCTTGGTGACCGGCACTGGCTTCTTCCTGTGCTTATTCTCGTCATTCAGGAACCATTCAGGTACTTCCCAAGGCTCGTCAGACGATGCAAACCTGCGAAAGCATAAACATGTTCTCGCTTATCCGCCCTCCTCCTTTTATCTTCAGCCTACCTTTCCCAAACATTTGGCTCCTACATCTGTTTCTTTTGGGTTGCTGATGCTCAGAATAAAAGTTGACTTTTTTTAAAATTCATGTCGGTTGTGTACTTTATTTTTGTTGCAATTTGTGACTTTAGCTAAAACGGCAGGGGGCATTTATTTATTTATTTCATTTTATTTACTTAGTGAAAATACATAAAGTACCAGGCATCCAAAACACCAGGAATGGTAAGCTATATTATGGTACTATAAGATACATGTGGAATTAAAAGTCTTAATATTATAAACTCACAAAGTATGAGTATTACAGATAAATCCATAATTCTGCAAGAGTAACTTTCTAAATTTTAAAAGAGTAAATTGGTACATTGTCTTGTCAGTTTTTCTACGACATTCTTGCTTGAGTAAAGATTAGAGATTGACAGTTTCAGTTTGCTTGTTGTCAATTAAACACAAAAAGAGAATTAGATATTGTGATTTTAAAACTACCCCCACAAGTGTGATATCTTAATGCTAATAGGCAAAACAAAACTATCAGCTGGCTGGCCTCACTGGCCATTTGCACACCGTGTCCACACGCACCTGTGGAAGGAGTTGTCCACCAGGTCTCTGGCTTTCTTCTTAGATGTGGCAATCTGGCAGCCAAGGGCGAGGCCTTCGGCATCCAGGATGCGAGCTTTCTTACCTTCACGCAGAGCACAATAACATGTATACTTCCAACAGGAAACTGATGACTCAAAATCTGATTGTTTCACACATGTTGTTTTTATGTAGCCCAAATTAACTCACTGGTGCTTTCAACTGGAACGACCTGGAAGTCGTCATCGTCATCACCGAGACCTGCCCCGGTGCTACCACTTGTCCCGGTGCTGCCATTTGCCTGTTTCAACTTGGATATGAATCTAGAAGAAACAACAGACTTGTTATTGATTCGTTTAATGATCCCATGACTTTCTATGACAACTAACTCTACTTATTGTGAATAAAGATCCTTATCGCTGTTTTCCGGAACTGAATGTTTATTAAAATGTGTTAAAACTTGATTCAGTTCTACTTATGAATACATGTAAATCTGTATTAAAATATTCCAAAATTGATAACGTTATACGAACCGGTACATGTGATTCTGTTGAAATGTCATGCTTTATAATATTTGGCATGGATGTCTTCTATGACAAAACTGTATGCACAGTACGTTTCCATGAGCAGTAAAACTGGGGCCTTTTTGGAACCAACCAACCAACCAACCAACCAACCAACCAACCAACCAACCAACCAACCAACCAACCAACCAACCAACCAACCAACCAACCAACCAACCAACCAACCAACCAACCAACCAACCAACCAACCAACCAACCAACCAACCAACCAACCAACCAACCAACCAACCAACCAACCAACCAACCAACCAACCAACCAACCAACCAACCAACCAACCAACCAACCAACCAACCAACCAACCAACCAACCAACCAACCAACCAACCAACCAACCAACCAACCAACCAACCAACCAACCAACCAACCAACCAACCAACCAACCAACCAACCAACCAACCAACCAACCAACCAACCAACCAAACACACACACACACACACACACACACACGAAACTGATATTTAAAAAATGCCCCAGCTTTACCGCTCGTGGAAATTTCCTGGATACTTTACCAGAAAATATTCCATCTCTTTGCAACCCCAGCGGCACATAAATAAAATAGAAATGAATTGAATTACTCTTCATCGTCACTGTCATCTGAGTCGCTGTCACCGTCTTCCACCGCTTCCTTTGAAGTCTCCGCCTCTTCTTTTACATTTGGAGCAGCCTCCTCATATTTCTCTACTTTCTCAGCTTTCCTCTTTTTGCCTTTTCCTAAGACATATTTTAAAAAATGTGGTCAATACCCAAGTGTGGTGTAATATCAGAATCTCTGATCATAACTCCTACTATCATAACCAAGGTCAAATTAAGCATTACTGAGCACTTTTATGTTCAAAGCTTTGTACATGATTCCCAAATGTTATGATGTTTCTTTTTCAATGTTTTAAGTTCATGAACATGCTATGAGCACGTTCATAGCAAATTTCACGTTTTTGTCACATTTAGCCAAATGTAAGACCTTTTTAACACCACTTTGATCAAATTAGAGCGGTCTCATTAAATACAGCCACCAATATGCCCTTATTTTCAGATCACACAAAACAACAATATACTTTACAAAGCTTTTCAAAGAAAACACAGCAGCATTATTTGTTTGTTTGTGTCCATGGATATTTTAAGATCTCTTTAGATTTAACATTTTTAACCAAAGACCTTAATTTCGGAAAATCTGATTTCAGACTTAAAAGGGACTTGCTCTCACGAGCGTTACAAAAATATAGGTTTAAAAACATACATAAATAAATATTATAGTCGTTTTTTTGTTATAGCAGGACAAGAAGCTTTGTCTTTGGATGGACAATACAATTAACAAAAAAAATTTTGTAGAAAATCTCCCATGTCTGCATACAGGATATGCTAGTTACAATTTGAAGCACTTTATCCAAAATACAAGCACTTTCCAAATATTAAAAATGCTTACTTATACCAACATTAGGCATTTTCTAGAATTTCTACAGCACTTCTACGATTCTTTCTTAAAACTAGCAACAATATTTACCTGGGTGCTGGTTTTGGATCCACTGCGTCTGTCTGAGCTCGCTCTCAGCGTCTCCTTCTAGCTCAATCTCAGAAAAAATGTCCTACAAAAACCAAACAATTCACTCAACAAAAAAAAAAGCTCATCTACAGGTGGGAAAGAAAGGGTCATTTAATGAATTGTGTTGTGGGACAAACCTTACTGAACCACAAGTTGGTTTCACGCTTTTTCTTCTCATCTATTCCTTCAAGTTCCACGAGTACGCCGCCCTCCTCTTCGTTGTCGTCCGCCTCATCTTCCTCGGTGAATGTCACTCTGAAGACAAGCAGAGTACGCAATAGTGTAGGTCGGATTTTCGTCGTCATTTCTAGGCGTATCATAATATACCACAGTTCAGTGCAGAATCGTTCCATTTTGCTCATATCTCTCACTCACTTCTTCTTCTTCTTTTTCTTCTCCAGCCCCTTCTGTCTGCGTTCCACCTCCTCCAGTTCATCGTCATCCAAATCAGAGGCCAGGGACATGTTATCTGCTTGGTCCTCCTCCTCCTCAGTATCAGACAGGTCGAGGTCATCCTCTCCCTCCGCTAGGAAGTCTGCTGCTTTCATGTCCCCCTTGGAAAGATCATCCAGCACCTGACGAGTGGAAGAAGAATGATCAGAATGCACCTCAAATGAATCACCCAAAAACCCGTTTGTGTACACCGACCAACTGTAACATTATGAATGAATGAATGAATGAATGAATACTTTATTGTCATTGCACACTTGTTACAACGAGATTTTTGCAGGAGCCTCCCCCCCAAGTGTATTGTGAAATATAAAAAAATTTAAAAAAAGTATTGCTACTTACTACAATATAATGACATCCTCTGCACGAGCTGCATCAGATAATTCTGATTTGCAAAAGATAATGCCCACCTCCCACCTTATTACCTCAGAAAATGTAATTGGTTTGAAGTAGGGCTGTGCGATACAGCCAAAATATAATATGTCAATTTTTTTGCCAGATATCTCAATATTACAATGGGTTCAGCGAAAAAAAAATTTAAATGAAAAAACTGAATATTAAACCAAAAGGGGATGGAAAATGTCGTTTATTTCTTAGAATTTACTGAGAGCCATCGACATTCACACTCAGCAATAAAACTAAAAATAATTCAAATCACATTGTATTGCAACAGTGCTTCAATGATCAACAAAAAATGTATTCTAACATACCTGTATATATAACATAAGTATTTGTTGTGTTGGTGGGTATTAATTGCATCAAAGTGTGTGTTGTTCTGTCCTAATTTGTCCATGCATGCCCGTAGTTCATGTATGCATTGATGAATTACTTTGAAATACACTCATAATTAAAGATAAAAGGCGACCAAGTGACAGCTGATTACAAAAAATGAATCCTAAGTCAGGGCACTGTTAAGTGAAGGTAACACTGTATTGTGCATGTGTGTGCATGTGTGTGCGTGCGTTTGTGCGCATGCATGTTATGACCCTTACCTCTTTCTTCTTGATGGTGTGGAGGGAGAACAAGCAGACATCATTGTTGTCAGCAATGGAGACACCTGGCAGATCCATCTTGAGCTCCACCCTCTCCCTCTGCTTTCTACGCTCTTTCAGCAGCTTCCTCTTTTTCCTGACGGCAAATAGTGAGGTTTCACTTGAAATCTTAGGACGAGAGCATTGAAGCGGTAACGCCGTACCTCTTGAGATCAGCCACCTCCTCTGCTTTCAGCTCGGCCAATTTCTTCTCCATTTCTTCTTCTTCGTCGTCATCACCCTCCACCTCTGCTACCTCTTTGTTCTTCTTTGGCTCGGCATCTGATTCATCCCCCTCTTCCTCAGAACTCAGCCTAAAGAGCAAAGAGACACGATTGGCAGTTAAGACACTTGGGCAGACACGGCGCATCAGCCCGGCATCTTGTACCTGATTTCCCCATCAAGGTTCTTGGCCTCCTCCTTCAATTTCTTAGCTAGGTATCGCCTCAGCTTGGTCCTCCAGTTCAGCAAAGCGCTGGGTTTGAACAATAGCGAGAGCAAACATTACACCACCTTGGAAGTAGAAACATGTAAAGTTGTAAGGAATGGTACCAGGGGACAAAGGTTTTACCGGAGTTCTTTGCGGCCCAAAACTTTAATGTCACGACAACACTCCTTTATCTCATCAGTAGTGGAGCTGTGAGTCTCCAGGTCTGGGTTGTCAAAGGTGATCTAGAAATAAACAACGGGGTGAAATATCATCAGTCTACGAGGAACGCTTCACGTTGGCTTGCAGACCACGCAAAAGATCAATGTGTAGTTGGATACGGTATAGTCTGACTCCTCACCTCACTGGCTTTGCCCAAAAAGTCCACGGGGTTTTCAGCTTTGACAAAGGTTGTAACAGTGCAACTGTGGAAAAGGGTCAGGTCGCCATCAGTGTATCCCTCGGCCTGAGGTACAAGAAGATAATCTGGGTCAGTAGAAGACCTCTCCAGCCATTAGAACCACAGAGTTTTGCACTGTTTGGTTAGCATTAACTCATTCAATCCCGGCCATTCTCACGGGAGCAACCCCCTCAATCCCAGCGTTTTACTGGATTTTGACTGATCTTTCAAGGCCCACAGAATATTTGTTTCTAATGCTATATAAACATAAAGTTTGGACTCTCATCTTTCAGCAGAAAAAAATTTGTTTCTATCTTTTTCCATTCTTCAGCAATGGTCATTACAAAATGGCTAAATTTCATGAAAATGGCGATTCCTGGGCAAAAAAAACGGAGAAAAAGAGCTTTTTGTAAAAGCATGCATTTCAAGCGTGTGAGGCACCACTGCCACCTACTGGTCGCTTTTTTACATGATTTACAATGTAAACGGCTTATTCTCATTCACAGATTGCATCAGACCCTCCTCTCCATGATGCAAAAAAAAAAAAAAAAAGACGTACATCCTTGGTAGGTGGGGCCTAATTTTAAAAAGACGTACAAGTACGTCTTGTGGAATGAAAGAGTTAAACTGAATGTACTTAAAGCTATGTAAACATGTAATTCTCTTTAGACTCATCTTTAGGTTGACAGAAAACCTTAACTAGGAGCGGAAATGAACACACCGAGGTCTCTTTTCTGAGTAATTGTTCACAACCTGCTTTTTGTGAAGTAAGGTGAGTTGACTGCCACCAAACAGCACTCAAACTGCTCATTTTGGCTCGCAAATCCAAGCCAAATCAGCCGAATGTCGACTCATATCCCGAAAAAGTTCTACCAGTAAGTATAGCACCACAATACAACAAAACCACAGTAAATTGTGAGCACAGCCATTATCATGCCACCAAAAGACAGCAGCAGTGACTTACATTGTGACAAAATACACAAGGAGCACAGAGTACAAGGACAGGCCATGGATAATTGACAATAACATGACTTTGCGTTAATTATAAGGTGAATTATTAGTTGAACACAATTCAGGTACTGGGTAAAACTGACCAATCTCTCAGAAAAAAGAATGCCCTCAGTGTACTTCACAAGACGTCAGTTTCAAGGCTTTACACTGTAATTGGCTTTCAATTTAGTGTTTTTTTTTTTCATTTCACATTTATGCTTATCAGCCAAGATTGACTCTTTTTTGCTTAAACGTTTTGATATTAAAAGTCTATCTACGGTCAAAATATTTCCAATGCAGGGCAAACTGGAGGTGGACCAGTGTTCTGTTTGTGTTCATGAGATTCCCAAGTGATATAACCCAAGTCAGTCTTTTAAAAATATGATTGTATTCAGGCCCCCAAAACAGTGTTTCTATGAAGACAAAACATACTGTAAAAATAATGCGTATAGACTAAAAACTCATTCTGGGTAAACCGCATTCATTATTGTTGTACTGAACCAACCCACACACACTGTACCTTTGGCTTTTTTTCCGGAACCAGTTCTTTCACAGTTTTGGCCTGTACTTCCACCTCTTTAAATGCATATTTGGGGTCGAAGAACTTGGCGTCAATTTTGTCTGGCGCGAGAAAACCTGCGGATGAATGAGTAGAATAATTTGTTTACCGTTACAAATGCAGGCACTATAGTTGCATCCAAATCTGCTACTGACCCTGGCAAATAACAAAGATTTCCGCCGACTCATTCCTAGACGCTTGGGGCTTGGTGGCTTGAACTTTCTTGAAGAACTGCTGGAAGATCCAGAGCAGCGGCTGGTAGTCTTTCGAGCGGAAGACCTTGGTGACAAACGTGCCCCCTTTCGTCAAGAACTCAGAGGCCAGCTTCAAGGCCATCAGGGTCAGGTGGGCTGGTAGCAAAAGAAACGAACAGCTCTTGAGAGGTTGGCTGATGGTCAACAAAAGATAATTTACACAACTGAAAAAAACTTGCTACATACATTTTTTACATAATGCATAATAACTTTTAAAGGGTATGAAGGAGTTAAGTGACTAATTGAATTACTATTTTGGAAACTAACAGGTAACTAACTATAAGTTTTATAAGGCAATTTGTCCAACACTGCTGATTTAGACAAGTGTCACATACCTTGGGAGAAAGCATCATGTTGCCAGTTGGCTCCTACGTTTGGAGCACCATCATTTAGCACAACATCAACCTTCCAGGTCTGCAGCTCCTTTCTGAGGGCCTGCACGTACAATATAAAATTATCAATGAATAGAAGATCAATTCATTCGAATGCAGGAAAAATAAGTTGTTTTCCTCACAGTCGATTTTAACAATTAATTTGAGTTTCTTCCAAAACAATTTATAAGGATTTGTTTGTTCGTGGTTTCTGTTGTTAAAATCTGACATGGATTGCTTGCACTAAAAACCTGGCTTCAAATGGAGAGGAGTTAGTTTACAAAAGCGCAGTCATGTTTGTCAACTTAGTGATTTTTCCAATCCCTCTTTGATTGTTTTTTTAAAAAAGTGACTTCGGAGTTTAATTCTTGAGAAGAAAGACAACATGAGCGGAATCATTTTCCTGTTGTTCAACAATAAAGATGCCTAGTGCAAGTCAGCCATGTAGTCAGTCTGATTCCTTGAGACTCGGTGTTTATTTATTGATAGTCTATATATTATACATAGTTCAATTATTTTTCCTGGGTACGCTGATGCAAGATAACACGAGGGAAAGTTCTAGCTTGTATCAGAAGATGTTTCTGAATAGGCTGAATAGAATGTCAGTGCCATCCATTGTTTCTTCAAGCGAATGGTAGAATTGAGTTATAATCAGAAATCTTATTTTGTGAGGAAAAAAAATCTTTTCAGCATTCACAATTTCACTGTCCAAGGAGGACTTACCTGTCTGCATTTCTCAGTGGTGATGTCTTCTTGAAGGGTCACTACATTGGGGATGGGTTTAATGGGCACCAGGTCAACACCTGCAAGAAGAATGTGTACAATTAGAAAAAGAAAAAAAAAAAACAGAAATTTACTGGGTCAGATCAAAGGTGCACATACCAATAACAAGGCTTGAAACAGGCATAAATTTGGACGCCACTTGTAACCTGTGAATACAAAATCATTCAGCCAAAACCAGTCAATAATATCACATTTTCCTGTCATTTGCCATTTTTGGCACCGCTTATCCTCACAGGGTCGCGGGGGGTGCTGGAGCCAATCCCAGCAGACTTCTGGCAAAAAGCGAACTACACATTGAACTGGTCGCAGGGAACACACACACACTATAACCGATCCCATACTGCCCGCACACAAGTTAGGCAAGTGTACCACTACACCATTTATCATCATGTCTTTTTTTTTAATTGTCATATTTTTTAAATTGTTCTTATACACCTTGCCCCCCCTCCCCCCCCCATTTACTTATTTCTAGTATTTAACATTATTTAAACTCGTTCTTGCACCATACATATTTTTTGGTACTTGGATGGAGACTGGCAAAGTAATGATTTCATTGCTCAATCCTACAGCAGAGATGACAAATAAACATCCTAAATTCTGAATAACATTTTAAGAAAGATGACTTGATTTCATTTGTGTAAATGTGACTAACCATCCTCCGGGAGCAGCGCACAGGTCCACCAAAGCTCTAGCTTTTTGAAGAAACTGATATTTACGGTTTAGTTGGATGAGTTTGAATGATGAACGAGACCGATAACCTGTAAAGGACACGATAATTAAGAATAGGAAACATCTTTCATGCTGCACTCTTGGTCACCGGCTGGCATGGGTACATTGCTATTGCTAAAATTAAAATGATATATTTCTGTAAGATCGTTTCGCTACCTGTTTCTTTGGCTAAGTGGTAGAATTTATCTTTTCGGGTCTTTCCTACTTTGAGCTTCTTCCCCATTTTTGTGTTGACAGCAGCTTTACGCTGGAAATTAACACAACTACACTTCCAAGGAGTAACAAAAATAAAATCACTAGCATATGATGAAAACAACACGTGTGAGCCTTGGTGCGCATATATTGGACGTCACGCGTCTCGTCTTCTTCGTCTGCCGATGATTAGCCGGACGGAGGCAGAATAGCGTCACTTGCTGGCTGCACTTGCTCTTCGCGTCAACATTTCCAGGACAAAAAGCTCCAAAGTCCCAACTTTCATCTTTTTCCATTACAGGAATAAACAGAGGTGGCAATTAGAAAAATTACTCATATTTTATACTGAAGTAGAAGTGCACATGCTATTGTAAAGAAGACGTGGATAAAAGTAGAAGTACGTATTCAGCTATCTTTCTTTGGTAAAAGTAAAAACAAAAAAGGAACAATAGAGCTGTACCTCAGTACACGAGTAAAAAAAAA